GATTCTGAAAGAAAAAAAATTGTTTACTATTTATTGATTGCTATTTTGAAGCAAATTTGTTACTATATATTGTAGCTTCTTGTGGCTATTTCTTACTATTTTATTGTTGTTAACCGTAGGTTTTTTCCTCAATAATGTTGTGGCAAAGTGTAGCAAATTACTACAACAGATTCATAGCTAACTTTGTTACAATTGTATTGTAGCAAATTTGATTTAAATTGCGACAAGAAATTTATGTGATAATTTGATATGTTATTGACCTAATTTTTCTCCCAAAACTGATATTATACTAATTAACCCTAAATATTATGATACAAATTATTTATTATGCGACCAACATATAATAAGTCTGAATATAACTAAATTTGTGTATCTTCTTATTATATTATTTAGGCCGTGCACAACACGGAACATCACCTACTTCTAATTTAAAATGCAATTAGTCTAGCTAATTCCAATAGATTTCGATTAATCAATGTAAGAAATATATAGGAAAATGACATTGGCACTTCTTGGTATTATACTTTTTGGTTACTGCACGAGCCACGAGGCGTAGAAGAAGAAAACAAGTCTAATTCTTCGATCCGTAATTTGACCGTTACTTACCACCGACGACGTGTTAAAACGACGTCGTAAAAAGAGAAAGCGCATTATAAACACGAGCTAGCTAAAATGCGCCAGGGGTAATAATATACGCACAAGGATCTGACGTGGGTGATAACAACCACCACCGTAATCCCCAAAGATCTCAACATTTTCGAGTGGTTCATAAAATTAATCAGCAAAAATCTCAGCGTTCAAAACTGAGTTTTTCGCTTTAATCCTCGCCGGAGATTTTATATCGGAGAAATGATCGGCGGAGGAAGGGTTTACTGGGGGAAGAAGACGGATAAAGAGATGGACGACGGTGGATCTAACGGCGTCGTTGTGATCTTCGCTTGGAGTTCGATTAACGATAATCATCTCACGAATTTCGTTGATCTCTACTCTTCTCTAGGTTGGAATTCGCTTGTTTGCCGAGCTGATTTTCTCACTGCGTAAGTTCTCTTTTGTTATTCTCTGCTCCCTGAGTTTAAAATTCCGACGACAACCAAATCGAGAGATGACGATGAATTTTCCGGTGTGGGGATGATTCGTAGCTACCAAATCAATGGGGGTTTTTGTGTGGATTAGGTTTGTATAACAGCATTAGTAACAGAATCTTTTGCTTCTTAGGCTTTTCGTCGAATAGATTCGATTGTCCAATTGAAAAATACTGTGTAAGAAGATTGATGGAAATGGAAATAAGTGATGGGAATTTTTTTTATTTGAATTCATGTTGTTTTTTTTTTCTTTCCAAATCTTGTCATGTACAAACTCTGAAAGATTCCACAGATAGCTTTTGTATATTCCAGTTTTGATACTGGTATTGTTTGAGAATCTCTTTTTGTAGCTAAGCTATTTTTGTCCATGTTTTCAGGTTTTACCCTGAAATGGCTTTGTCTCTAGCGTTCCACCTTCTTTCTGAGCTCATTGAGGTAAGTTCCGGCTAAACTTTTCTATCACGTTCGGTTTAGGAATTTGATGTTTTCTGTATAGGGTCAATTTTTATGTGTTATACATGCTCTATGTTAATTGATTCTCGACGGATTTCTTCCTTGTTGGTGTGTTGTTATTGTTCAGGAGCTAAAGAGCAGACCATGTCCCGTTATCTTTCTAGCTTTCTCTGGGGCTCCCAAGGCGTGCATGTACAAAGTCTTACAGGTAAGCTAATAGGATTTTACTTTCATCTTATTTTTCTTCATTTTGTGCTGCTTTATGTTTTGTCCAATGGTCTCTGAAAATCGCCAAATGTATTACACAATGCAGGTGATCATGGGTGATTGTGAAGCTCAAATTCATCCGGTGAGGATTGTCTCGTATACAGTTTTATTTAAGTCATTAAATCCCAACTCATTTAGTTTTGGGTAAGAGGTATAATTATGTTGTTTCTCCGTCAGTTCGATTCCAACTCATTAATTGTTTTCCAATATCTGAAGGATGATAGCCAGTTAGTTAGAAACTGTCTTTCTGGACATGTCTACGACTCTGGTCCATTGGATTTTACGAGTGATTTGAATGTGAAATTCGCACTTCATCCCACCATACGGCGAATGTCTGGGCCTTCAAGACTAGTATCTTGGGTGGCCAAAGGGATTTCTTCCGGGCTTGACGGTCTATATCTTACAAGATTTGAATCCCAACGTAGTGAGTATTGGCAGGCCCTTTACTCATCGGTTGTAAGTTTCCCCTGAGCTTCTATGCCTTGTCTATTTTGGCTTCTCAAATTTTCAGCTACACAAGGTAACGTTTCCTTCTTTTCTCCAGGAAATTGGGGCTCCGTATCTCATTTTGTGCTCCGAGAATGATGAACTTGCTCCCCACCAAGTGATTTCGAGCTTCACCCATCATTTGCAGGAACTGGGAGGAGAAGTTAAGGTTGTCAAGTGGAAAAATTCTCCTCATGCAGGTTAGTCATGACACGTAACACGACGTGGTTGCGATGGTCATGCTATGATTGTGACAATTTACAATACATGACACATGTTTACTAGGGGTTCCCGTATGGTTGGGCATTCTATGATAATGATTTTTATCCTCGTTAAATATATATCTTATACTTAGGAAAGCTTTTCATGTAGTGTTTTTATTGCAAAAGAGTGGTCAAAGTTGATTTTTTCGAGCAATAACTATTTGAGCTACTGGTTTGTGGTTAGTCCATGTCCTTGACAAGCATATGATTTCGATTCTCAATGCTACAAAATGTGAACCTTTTTGTCTCATTGCTCCTGTCTTTCTTTCAGAACACTACACGCATAATCCTATACAATACCGGGCTGTCATCTCCAACTTTCTAGAAAAGGCCATGTCAGTTCACTTGCAGAAAATCCGGCAGCATGGAGAAAGAGCTCGCACACATGATGAGATCTCTGAGTTAATATGCAACCTTCAGAAAGCAGCTGTGAACTCTAACCAAAGCCTAAGAAGAGTGGCCACTGGGCCAAGTGACCACTTTTTCTTACCCAGCTCAGCGCCGTATCAAAGCACCATCAACAACAATGATCCATCATCTTCACAAGAAGAGCAGAGAGAAAGATCATCCTTCCGCCCACTCCAACCAATGAGCATAAACGCCCACAGCGTTCTCGGGCAATTCCTGTTCGACTCATGTGTTCCAAAGAACATCGAAGGCTGGGATATCAGATTTGGGGGATCTCTGAACGGCCAACCATATGCCACTTCCCGGAGGAACTCAAATCTTGGTTTCAAGAAACGCTTCCTCCGTTCAAGACTATGAACTTGTAGAAAACCGGTCAAGGTACACGTAAATTGTGAACCATATGGTAAGTAGTAGAGAGATGCTTAGAAAGGAGAGAGGGTGTATAGGATGCGGAAGATGTAAATAGTGACAATTACCACGACCTAACATACCTTTAAATGTTGCGAGTTACAAGTATAAAAAAATAAGTCTGTAAATAGACATATCTTTTACTTGTGGTAATAAATAAGCACTGTAATATGTTTCACATAGTGTATGTTATTATAATAGCTTGAGTTCCTCCGATTTGGTTTGGACTCGAAAGCTAGATTTGAAGCTATACACACTTTAATATATCACTTTGAACTTAGGAAATATAAAAGAAAAATAAAAATCTCATATAAAGCTAGGATCCTATATCATATAGACTTTAATCATATGCTTTTGTACAAGAAGAAAAAATAAAGCTACAAGCCTAGTATTCCCAATGACTCTCGAGATCATTGCAACTTGTCAACACTCTTACGACCATCTCGAAGCCAAAACAAGAAGCAAGTGATCGATGAGACTAGACGAGCAACTTAAAGATGAGCCATGAGACTCGGTTTAAATGGAACTGAGGCGGGATGGATGGCTAAAACATGAACGCCAAAGCACAACCAGTCAATGGAATAGCACCAAGTAATCGATAATTCGATATCATGCAAGTTAAATCAACATGCATGTAGAATAATAAACGTTTTATAAATCCTCAAGTGACTCCAAATCTTATTATTACTATGTTTCGAATAGCTTAAGTATATTTGGTTTTGTACTCTATTTTCGAAGCTTTACTCATGGAATTGAAATTGTCTTGTTATCATCAGTTTGTAACTTCACACATGGAATATGAATCAAATCTGGCAGTCACAGAACACCGTGTTTGGAAAATGTTTGTTAAAATTATATTAAACTCTGTTTCTACTTGGGAGAAAAAATTTCAAAGAAAATTCTGATATGCAGTAATTAAGGTTTGCTTAACAAAATAAAGTCATTTAGACCCAAACCAATCGCTTAACTCAGAAACAAAATTTTGCAAATAAATTCTAGTTAAATAGAACTAAACCGAAAACAACTAACCAAACCAAATTCGACTATCTCACCAATCACCTAAGAAGATTTGGAAGGATCAAAGATCTGACCAACAAACAAAACTCTTCCGGTTTTGTCTTCTCTAATCAAAAAAAGAAATGGATGATCAGCTACAAAATCTATTGGAGGCTCCATATTAAGAGCACAGCCTTCCTCTACATCATAGTTGCAGCTGCAGCTTCAGCACCTTCTTCATCGATTTCAACACAAGCTTTATGGTACAATGAAAACGAATGCAGTCCCAATTGATCCAAAGCACTTGAACAAGAAAACCCGAATTCAATCTTAAATTTTGGAATTCTGAATGCCTCAAGCTCATCTCTGAAACTCGGAATATGACTATCCACAAATCCAGGAGTAGATGCCATTCTCTCCACAAGAGTATCCAATCCATATTTCTTGTCGGGTAGATAGAAATACAATGAGAATTTCCGGTTGGTATCACCATGGCCTCGTCGGTAAGGGAGCCTAACCTTAAACCGTCATAGGCTCTTACGTATTGGTCATCGTAGCTAGTCATGAATGGCACAGACACTGATTCGCCATTAAGAAGGTGAAATTTTCTGTCTGTTGTATTGTACTTATCAAATGGCCTTTTCCAAGCTCCCTTGAAGTACAAGGTGTTTCCATAAATCTTATCGGTTAATGTTGTAACTGATTCAGGAGGAAGAAGATTCTTGATGAGATTATTGGTGTGTTTTTCAACCCATGCATTAACCTCCTTACGCACTTGTTCAGCCTTCAAAAACCAAAAAAGAGAGACAGCAAAAAATTAGCCTTAATGTTCCGAAATCCTAATTTTTCAGAAACCCTAAAGAAAGATTGAAGCGAAAGAAACAACCTTTGATCGGAAATCAACTGGAGCATAAATAGCCTTAAAAAAATTCTCAAAGATGTCCTTAAACTTGGGATGCACCGGAAGTGATTTCTCGATCCATAGACCATTCGCTGCCGTGATCTTGGGGCTACCGCTAGCGCTATGGTCGGCGAAGACAACGGAGGAGATTTCTTGGAAAACGGATTTGAGCTCTTCGAGTGAAGAAGATCTCAAGTAGTAGAGGACTTCACCGGCGACTAAGTCACCTCCGGGACCAGCGGCGTGCATGGTGATCGCCGAGTGTATAGACGCCGGCGAGAAGATGATGTTCATTGACGCAGATAATAAGACGTTCCTCGAAAGGATCATCGCCACGTCGTTTTGGTTCTTAATAGCTTCTTTCATATCCATCTTTGATATGCAAC